CACCACGCCTGGCTGCAAATTCAGTTTTTTCAAATGAAGCAAGAATTAAATGAAACAGCAGCAGCGTGCGCCCGTGTCTTGTAAGAACAGGCTATTGGCATGCTTCAAGGATAAGCGGTGTTTGGTAGAACTTTCATTTCTATTATAAAAGTGTGTGTATTTATAGAAACATTTGGGACTAGTAGGCTGTGTTAGTCAAAAGAGTTTGTAGAGCTGGGGATGTAGCTCAGTGGTACAGCACTTGCCTAGCATGCGTGAAGCCCTGGGTTTAATCCCCAGCACCAAAGAAAGAAAGAAAAAAAAAAAGAGTTTATAGACCACTGACTGAGGTCTTGGGCTGTAGCTGCCCACCCTCCTAAAAGGTTAACAAGAGAAGGCCTAGCTAGGGAGAGAAAAGTCATTTCCCCCCCATCTGTGGGTGCTGGGATTAGGCCAGTTATGAGAGAAGGATTGCCTCAGAGGGACCTGGACCACCAGGTGCCCCAGGTCTCCATAGAGCCCAGCAGGAATGAGGAGGGGTGGCTGGCATTCAGGTGGGGTGGGCAAACTCCTGGCCAAGTCATGTCAGTCAGGCCCTGCCCTCTGCAGGGTCATGTAATCCTTTAGGGGCCTCATTTAAGGCTTGGCATCTCCAGCAGGGATCCCTGGACCAGAGTGAGGTGGGGCTGGTGGTCTTTCCCCGTTCCTATCCCAAGGAAGCCCGGTGTGTCCAGGTTCAAAGAGGCTCATGACTGGCTGGCTGGGAGCTGTTTATTTTGGGTTTATGGGCCCAGCTCTCGGGCTATATTTACCTTGTGAAGCTGCATGCAATCTGATCTGATCTGGTGTCTCTGGGACTCCTCTGGGGCCCTGACAGTCAGCTGCCAGATTCTGTGAGGTCCCCCTGACTTTACTCTCCCCACCCATGGGGACATTTCCCAAGCAGGAAGCTTTCTGGAAAAAGCAACCACTTTTATGCCTGTGAATAGTTTCCATCGAGGTCTATGATTGACGCCAACTGTTCTTTCTTCTCAACTCTGAGTCCTTTGTTGTAGGCAGCCCCATGGCATTGAACTTGGTTCCAAATGTGACAGTGGTACATTCAGCCTACCTGTGCAGCCGGAGTTCTAGGAACGGTAGAGTCCAGTGAGGTAATGGGGTTTCTTCCGGAACACAGGAAGAGGCCCCTTCCTCTTCCTCAGAGGGCCCAGCCTCTCCTCAGCCTAAGGCCTGAGGAGGGCTGGCTAGTTTTGGCATTTCCAGGCTGGGTGTGTCCCAGCAGCTGCAGAAAACTTAGTTTTCTGGCGGTGGAGGCCATGGGTATGACAAATGGTGTGGAGTGGGCTCTGTCCTGCAGAGGTGGCCATCTGGCCAGGTGTGGTACAAGGTACACATTCTCCTTGTGCCAGGGTTGGGCGACCTGGCTACCTCACATGGGGCAGGTAAGGTCCAGAGTGAGGGGCGGAATTGGGGCATGTGGGCTCAGCCCCCTCCGGCCCCAGGCCAGAGTGTCCGGGAGCTATTTCTCTTCCGCTTCAAGCTGTTTTTTCTTTTTAACTAAGATTTATTGAGCTTCTCCTGTGGCTGGTCCTATGCTAAACATTTAGACGTCAAAACCTCATTTAACCTCCTCGGCAGCCGCACTCTGTGATTCCCGTTGCTCACAGGCTTCCAAGAGGCTTGGAGTTGGGATCCCCCATACAGCAGCCAGGGAGCTCTTGGGGACAGCTGATCTCACTTCTCGGAGCCTCAGTTTCCTCATTTGTACAGGAAGAATAATGGTATTACTAAGAATCGTCAACATTTAAGTTTATTACATGCCAGGTCTCGTTCAAATGGCTCTCTTCATTAACTTTAGAGTGACCATAAGGAGTGGGCCCCTATTTTATAGATGCAGAAACTGGGTCACACAGAGGTTGAAATACTTGTCTAAGGTCACCAGCTTTGTAAATGAAGGTGCCAGTTTCACACCCAGCTGTGGGTCTGGGTGCTGAAGGATTCTCTAGAGGGGGAGATACATGACCTGGAGATGGCTGGGATGCAGGGGAGGTACCAGGTGGGGAGCAGATTGAGAGTTAACTGTACTCATCCCTTCCGCCAGAGACACCCCAGTGCCTGGCTTAGGGCCTGACCTACCTGAGGACGCTAGACATTCCCATTGAGTAGATCAGTAACTAGTGGACCTGGGGCAAACCAGCTGCAGGTCCCCTATTTGTCCTTTCTGAGGTTTCAGGTTTCAGGACAACAGGCCAAAACAGGAAGAGGAAGTGTGGGGAGGTGGCAGGAGGCCTGGCTGCAGAGGGTGCCCCCACTTTTCCAGGTGTGGGCAGCCTGGGGGTAGAGCAAGGAGCCTTGGAATATGGCCCTTGATCTGCTTGCCCTGGTGGCCTGCCTTGCTGCCTCAGTCCCTCACCCGCATGGGCTGAGATGCCTAACACCCTCACCCGCATGGATTAGGAGTGCTCAGCGTTGGCTTTAGGCCACCAATGATCTTAAAAGAAAAACAGTCAAAATCCTGATGGCACTGCCCCAAATTTACATGAGTTTGAACTGTTTTGTAAACTCGCTGGCTGAAAAGTATATATCCCTGTCAGATATGGGAATTCTCAGGCACAAGTCTGTGAATCCCATTGAAAAGGTCCTTGAGGATATAAACTGGGTGTTTTGAAGTCATCCATCCCTTTTCACCATCCTCAAAGGTCAGCTCTAGACTGACCTTAATCCTGCTGCTTCCCTCCCTTACAGACAGGGCAGAGTCTTTACCAGTGCGCCAGGTAGAAGCAGGAGCCAGGTGTGCTGACTGGCCTTGCTGCTCTCTGGCTAATCCTGCTCCTCCATCTGGAGGCTAGAGACCCCGCCGGGGGTTAGAGGGGGATTTCAGGAAGAGACAGTGGGTTTTTAGGGTGAAGTTTTCAAACTGAACTCACTTTTTGTGCCATTCTATTGTGTGCCTGGTACTAAGTAGGTCACATGGATTAATTCAGTCCTCCTGACAACCCTCTGAGGCCTGTGCTATTATTCCCATTTCACAGAAGTGGAAACTAAGGCATAGAAAGTTGAAGGAAACTGCCAGAGTCACACAGCCTAATTAAGGGAGAGGAATCAGGGTTCAAAGCCAGGCAGCCTGACAGAGGAGACTGGTGAGGAGGAAGGAGCCCACCCCGCTACCTAGAGGTGCACGGAACTCAGTGTGTGGGGCAGGCCACTGTGAGGCTAATGGTACAAGGTACACATTCTCCTTGTGCCAGGGTTGGGCGACCTGGCTACCTCACATGGGGCAGGTAAGGTCCAGAGTGAGGGGCAGAATTGGGCCTATATATTTTTGGGGTATGCTTCAGCATCATACACCCCCTCTTTGAGCCTGCGACACACACAGTCGCTTTGTAAAGAGCCCTGTCTTTAACTGGGCCTGGTGGTGCGCTGCTGTCATCCCAGCCACTCTGGAAGCTGAGGTAGAAGAATTGCAAGTTCAAGGCCAGCCTCCACAACTTGGTGAGACTTTCAACAATGTAGCCAGACCCTCTCAAATATTACAAAAGGGGTTGGGGGCATGGTTCATTAGTAGAGCACCCCTGGATTAAATCCCCAGTACCACGAAAAAAAGACGCTTCCTCTGATGTTATTGTCACTGGTGCCTGCTGCTCCCGTCCTTCCCGCTGAGCAGGCAGACCCTGGCAGCCTGCCTGCTGCCCGCTGCCTCTGGCCCAGATCTGATGAACTGGCTCCTTCACATAGGGGTGATTGGCAAAGCCCAGGTGAGAAGAGCAAGTAGCAGGCCTGGAGCATGCCCTTGGTGACCCCAGATCCACAGGTCTCCAAGAACTGGAGGGCAACCAGTGCATTGCCCTGGAGCTGGGCAGGAGAAGGCCTTGGGACACCAGGGTTGAGTGTCTCTCTTCTGGGAACCTCTTGGTTCCTTGTTGGTCTGTGCACTGTGTTCTCAGAAGGGGCCTGAGGAGGGAGGGCCTTCACCTCTCCATCCCCCAACCTGTTCCTTGTCCCAAGAGCAGGGTGTAAAGGAGAAGCCTTGCTTGATGTGAGAGTTGATGCCAACAGAGATGGTGATGGTTACCTCTCTTTTTTTTTTTGGTGGTATGCTGGGGATTGAACCCACAGCCTCGACCATGCTAGGCAAGCATTCTACCACTGAGCCCTAGCACCAGCCCCTATATATTTTTTTTGATCATGGTAAAATATGCACAATCTAAAACTTAACCATTTTGTCCATTCATGGTGATTGGTTGGTAATGTCATTTGAGAGGTGTTTATCATGTACCAGGTACTCTCACTTAATTGTTAAAGTAATTCTTTGCATTAATATGATAGCCCTATTTATAGGTAATAAAGTTGAGGCTCTGACAGGTTAAGTGACTTGCCAAGGGACACACAGCTGATGAGCTCCAGGCTTGCTTTCTTCACCAGTTCTTTTTGCTACTTATTTGTGGTGCTGAAGATTGAACCCAGGACTTTATGCATGCGAGGCCAGCACTCTACCAACTGAGCTATGTCTCCAGCCCCTCTTTCTGCTACCTCAAAACCAAGTGGGTAGGCTTCATTATCCCCATTATATACATATGGAAACAAGCTCAGAGAGGCAAGTGACTGGCCCAGGGTCCCATAGCCTGATGAGAGGAGAGGCAGGATTACTTATTTTTATTTTTTTTAGTTGGGGTTGGACACAATACCTTTATTTTATTTATTTATTTGTATGTGGTGCTGAGGATCAAACCCAGGGTCTCGCACGTGCAAGGCGAGTGCCTCTACTGCTAAGCTACAACCCCAGCCCAACTTATTTTTATTTTTAATTGATTTTTTTTCTTTCTTCCTTTTTCTTTTCTTTTTTTTTTTTTTGTTTGATTGGGTCTCACTGAGCTGCCCAGGCTGTTTTCAGATGGCTCTCCGCCTCAGTGTCCGGGTACCTGGGACGACAAGTGTTCACCACCATGCCTGGCTTTGGGGAGGCCAGATGTGCGTGTGGTTCATTCAGTCCTGCCACTCACCCTGCTGTCTCTCTCCCCCAGGTGGCCATGGTGGAGGTGCAGCTGGATGCTGACCACGACTACCCGCCAGGGCTGCTCATTGCCTTCAGTGCTTGCACCACAGTGCTGGTGGCCGTGCACCTGTTCGCACTCATGATCAGCACCTGCATCCTGCCCAACATTGAGGCCGTGAGCAACGTGCACAACCTCAATTCCGTCAAGGAGTCACCCCACGAGCGCATGCATCGCCACATCGAGCTAGCCTGGGCCTTCTCCACTGTCATTGGCACGCTGCTGTTCCTGGCTGAGGTGGTGCTGCTCTGCTGGGTCAAGTTCTTGCCCCTCAAGAAACAGCCAGGCCAGCCGCGCCCCACCAGCAAGCCCTCACCCAGCGGTGTGGCCACCAACGTAAGCAGTGGCATCACCCCGGGTCAGGCAGCAGCTATCGCCTCTACCACTATCATGGTCCCCTTCGGCCTGGTCTTTATCGTCTTTGCTGTCCATTTCTACCGCTCCCTGGTCAGCCATAAGACGGACCGACAGTTCCAGGAGCTCAACGAGCTGGCTGAGTTTGCCCGCTTACAGGACCAGCTGGACCACAGAGGGGACCACCCCCTGACGCCTGGCAGCCACTATGCCTAAGCCCTCCTGCTGGGCCCTTCAGAGCTTTGGCCTTATGCCCTTCCCCATGACCTTGTCCTGCCCCAGCTTTGAGGACAGCCTGCAGGAGGCCGGGCTTGGTCAGGGCACAGAGTAGAGGGAAGGGGCTTTTTAAACAAGAAATTACTGCACTTTGAGACTTTCCTCTAAGAGAGCAAGCACTTCCTGTTCTTCCAGCTCCGGGGCCACCTCCTGGTAAGAGGCAGTGGAGGCCAGAGTGGGGACAGATGCTCTCTTTGTCCCTATTCCATCACTGTGCCAGTGCCAGCCGGATGCTTCCTGTCCTCTCCGTCTCATCCTCCCTCCCCGTTGAGTGTCAAATGTGTGCATGTGTGTTAGCACATAAATATACTCATAAGGGACACCTCTTCCTTGTGTCTGTATTTGTTGTGTCCTGGTTCCGAAGTCAGGCAAGCCTCTAAACAGTTTTTAAAATATTTTGGAGGGGTTGGAATGTAGCTCAATGGCAGAGTGCTTACCTAGCATTTGTGAGACCCAGGGTTTGATCCCTAGCACCAGAGAAAAATATAAAGTAAGTTTTTAAGTTTTTTGTGTCTGTGTCTGTACGTATGTGTGGTACTGGGGATGGAACCTAGGGTCTATCTATCTATCTCTTTATTTATTTATTTTGAGGAGGTACTGGGGATTGAACTAGGGGCACTCAATTACTGAGCCACATCCCCAGTCCTTTTTTATATTTTATTTAGAGACAGGATCTCACTGAGTTGCTTAGCACCTCACTAAATTGCTGAGGCTGGCTTTGAACTTACAATCCTCCTGCCTCCAACTCCTGAGCCGCTGGGATTACAGGCGCCCAGCCTCTACTTTTTTTTTTTTTTTTCCCCCTAGAACTCTTTGGAACCTGCAGAAAACCTGTATAAATAGTAACTAAAATATGTATAATCATTTCTTTTTATTTGAGGTAGTTGCATTCTATAAATCACCATGAACTTCAGGTGAGCAGTACTGAGCCATTGCTCCTAGGGAAAATCCAGGGTTGGTTGCCTGCCAGCCTCTGGTATGATATTTTTGTCATTTAATGAAAACATTACCTTGTTTTAGGTATAATTCTATTTAAAGACATATTTTTATTGTTGATTCATTACCATTGAACTTACAGCCAACAGCAGCATTAAGTCATGCCTAAACAAAGCTTATTTAACACACATGTTGTCTCTGTAAGAGACATTATCACCTTGTGTTTAGGAATGCTAGACAGATTTCTAATACTGTATTTGGGAATCTTTTCTTTTTGTGCTGGGGATTGAACCAGGGCCTTAGCCTCACTCCTCTACCACTGAACTACTATATCCTCAGCCCACTGGGGACCATTTTAAATAGCAGGATCAAAATGTAACACTAAATATTAAACTGTGACGCTGGACACAGTGGTATACACTTGTAATCCCAGCTACTTAAGAGACTGAGGGAAGAGGATCTCAAGTTCCAGGCCAGCCTGGGTGACTTAGCAAGACCCTGTCTCAAAATGAAATGGAAAAAGAGCTGGGGATGTACCCTGGTAGCGTACCTGGGTTACATCCCTAATACTGCGAAGAAGAAGAAGAATAAAAAGACGCTTGTTTTCGGTAGAAGCAGAAACTAGAACAAGGCAGTGTTAGGCAGTATTTTTCTTCTTGTTAGACCTCAGCAGGTAGGCAAGTTCACAAATACTGAGACCACAAATGAGGCTGGACTGCATAAATCCCCCAACCCCATGTCATATCCTTTAGTTGTTTAACATTCATGTTCGGTTTCCCACTTATCCCAGGAATGAATGCCCTTTCTGATGATGCTTTTTCCAATCCTGAACCATGCATAGCAATGAATCATCCTGTCTTAACCTCCTTTAGTTTGGAACAGGTTCTCAGCCTTTCTTGTCTTCTGTAATATTAACATTTTCAGAGTCCAAGCCTGTGGTTTTATGTAGAATGTCCTTATCAGTTTGGTTTCTCTAATATTTTCTCATTATTTTTTAAATTACAATCAGGGTGTGTGTTTTGGCAGAAATAGTGTATAAGTGAGATGGTGTCAGGACCCTTTTAAAACAAACAAGCAAAAATGTTAGTTCACCATTCACTGATATATCCATCAACTCATTTAATCCTGAGCATCCTTACCAGACACCAGGCAGGTTCAGACTAGGAAAAGTCTTGCTCAGAAACTGGGTCTGCGCAAAAGTCCTACCTGGGCTTATTCTGGTTTTGCTTGAAGAATGGGAAGATGCAGGAGCACTGGGCTTACCTTGCAGAGAAGCAGCAGGAGCTGAGTTGCCACCACCCTCTCTCCCCAGGGCCTATTTTTATCACAGTCTCCACCTCTTTTTATTTCATTCTTTCTTTTTTTTAATATTTTAGTTGTAGATAGACACATAGCGTTATTTTATTTATTTATTTTTATGTGGTGCTGAGAATCGAACCCAGTGCCTCACACACTCTACCACTGAGGCAAATACTCTACCACTGAGCCACAACCCCAGCCCCTCCACCTCTCCCTCTTGTCCCACACCAGGCCAGGTTCACTTGTTACTTGCCTGGCCCCAATAGGCCCTGAGTTTGAGATTTCAGAAACTCAGTATGTAAAGTGGTTTTAGAAAGTGCTTGGCTAGTCAGGCATGATGGTGCATCCCTATAATCCCAGTGGCGGCTCCAGAGGCTGAGGCAGGAGGATCACAAATTCAAGGGCAGCCTCAGTAATTTAGCAAGGCCCTAAGCAACTTAGTGAGACCCTGTCTCAAAATTTTAAAAAGGGGGGCTGGGGTTGTGGCTCAGTGGTAGAGTGCTTGCCTAGCATGCATGAGGCACTGGGTTCAATCCCCAGGACCACATAAATGTAAAATAAAGATATTGTGTCCACCTAAAACAAAACAAAACAAAAAAATAAGTGTTAAAAAAAAATTTTTTTTTAAAGGCTGGGGATGTGGCTTAGTAGTTAAGTGTCCCTCCTTTTAACCCTGATACCAAGAAAAAAAGGCGGGGGGTGCTCTGGCTGAAATAAAAGTTGGGTGGGGCATTGGTAAGCCTAATACTCATCTCCCTCCTATGACTTCACATTCACCCTGCACCCTAAGATCTCTACTTCACTACTTCTGCAGAGACCCAGGATTTGGCGGTAGTCATTTCTGCTGTGATCCTATAGTCTTAGATTCGCTTTCCTAAACTTGCCTGGACTCAGGAATCCCTGGACTAGCTTGCAGGATGCAGATTTCCAAGTCCCCACCCCCAGGAGATTCTGATTCAAGTTGGTTTGGGTGTGTCTCTGGAACTATTTCTAATAAGCACCCCAGGTGTCTCACACCCAGGCAACTTGGGCAAGATTCATAGTTAAGAGCAGTCTGGAGCTGGGTGTAGCTCAGTGGTAGAGCACCTGCTTAGCATCTGTGAGGCCCTGGGTTCCATCCCCAGCATCCAAGTAAATTAATAAGATCACAGTCCTTTAGTTACAATTTTATTTATATTTTGAAAACAGCAGATAATACATTCACAGGGTTCCAAATATAACAGTGAAAAGTTGCTCTCACCCCTGTTCCCAGATCCTCTGTTCTCCCCAGAGATGACCATTATTGCCAGTTTTGGCTCCTGCCTAGCACTATTTTATACATAAACACACCTTCCCTCCTCCAGCTTTTTCTAAAACAAAATGGTAACCTTCTATACATACTCTCCCATGCCTTGAAAGCAGATAGATTAAAGTTTAGGCACAGTACTAGCTTGATGACATATGAACCTCCCTCAGTTTCCTCCTCTAAAATGGAATTAATAATAGCAGGACAACTCACAAGTCTGGGTAAAGTCACTTGGAGAGTAGGCACAGGAAGTTGTTGACACAGGCCTGGGCATAGGATAAACAATCTGTATCTGGTAGTTGATTCTATATCCTGTGATGGCCAGCCTTGATTCTGATGTCTATTACAGACAGAACCACACCCTGGGTCAAGCCACTTAGGATGCAGGGGGCAGGGAGCATCTTTACTGAGCTTTTTACTATATACCTAGCACATCCTGAGGGCTTTACAAGCATCACTGGATTTCAGTGCTTCTCCACCTCGACACTGTTGACCTGGGATGAACAGCTCTCCGGTAGCATTCTTACATTGTAGCGTATTGAGCAGCATCCCTAGTCTCTACCCGCCAGACCCCAGTAGCATGCTTCACTAATCATGACAGCTCGAAATGTCTCCAGACATTATCAAATGTCTGAGGTGCTGGGGATAAAAAAAATCTCACCTGATCTTAAAACCACTGCTTGGTTCCATCCTTGTAGTAACGAACCACAGTAACCCTGGCAGCTAAGTCTTGTTCTGACCCAGGTTACAGGTGAGGAAGCCCAGAAAACAGAGTTTGGGTGACACTCCCAAGAAGACACAATTCACGCCCAGGCAGGCTAGCTCTAGGGTGCATTAAGCAAGATTCCCTCTTATCGCTCAGGAATGCTGCCTACCTTAGAATTCTGCAGAACTCTTCCCGGGCACATGGTCCACAGTTAACCTCAATACATGCTATTGCATCAAGGCCTCCAAACACTCCTGTGAAGTTTCTAAATTTGATTTTACAGATAGAGCAAAACTAAGGCCACTAGCTTAGGGATCCATGGCCAGAAGATCAGGGGTTCTTGTCTTCAGCTCCACATCAGAAACCCTTGGGGAACTCTTTGAATGCCTAGGCCTCATCCTAGATGGGACTCCCTGGCAATGGGACCTGGGCACCCACAGCTTTTATTTATTAGGTAATTTATTTAGGTACTGGGAAGGGAACCCAGGGTGCTTCACCACTGAGCTACACTCCCAGTCCTTTTTTTTTTTTTGAGGGTCTTGTTAAGTTGCTGAGGCTGGCCTCAAACTTGAGATCCTCCTGCCTCAGCCTCCCAAGTTGCTGTATTATAGGTGTGTGCCACTGCACCAGGCTGTCCATAGCTTTTAACGTTTCCATGGATTCCAAGATTGAGAGCTTCTGTGTGACATTGAGAAGGTGGGTCAGGCTTTAATACCAAATCTTGGTGGCCAGTGTGGTAGAATGCAGGTTCATCCTCCTCTCTGGACTGTCTGAGAGGTCAGAGACCAGGAATCCTGTGATTTTCTCCACCCAGAAATTCATGCAACGATGAGGCAGTCTTGCCCTCCTCCGTCTGACATCTTTCTGAGCTTTCCCACCCCTTCCTCATACCACAGACCCTGGGCTAAGGCCACCAGGTTCTTTATTCTCATGCACTCAAAGATGAGGTCATAGGATGAAAGACTGAATGAAAGTCCCAAAAGTCAGCTGGTCCCCCCTATCAGCAAAGAATGACCTAATGCTGGGAGGAGTGCCCTCTGAGGGTGCCAAGGGCATGCCCAGAGTCGCTGCTTGCTCCTCCAGCAGGAGCCGCACCAGTCTGAGCAGTTGGGTGACATGGCTTGAGTTTCTCCTGAGCCTTGACACTCTCTCTGCAGGGGTGGGGGAGACATGGAGCTGGCATTTGAAAAACATAATGCCCTTTCCTCAAGCCTCACTTACACCCACTCCAGGAGGAGCTACCCCTGGACAAGGCCCCATCACACAGATGTGCAAATGGAGGCTTGGGACCCACTCTCCTCACCTCAAGGGCATTTAGGAGTGAGGGAACCACCTAACTCCAGCCCAGTGCCCACCCCAGCAAAGCCCAGCATGCAAGAGGGAAGATTCAGGCAGGACTGGAATGCACTGGTCTCCAGGGACATGGGTTTTGAAGGGGAGGAACCAAAAAGGACCACCTGGACCACAGGAGGCAGGAAACCTGCCTTCTCTGGTCTTGCCCCGCAGCCCTTTGGAGACCCTAAAAGACCTGTGCATCCTTCTGGTCCCTGGAGCTGCCTCAACCTCTTCAAAGGTGTCAAGTGTGGCCACCTCCTCACCTGGCATCAATCTCCTTCTTTTTCTGTCTTCTGGAACATGGCCAAGGCTTCCTTCAGCACACCATCAGGGTCTAGAAGTTTGACCTGGAGGGAAGCAGCCAGGGTTTGGTTTGGGGAGCATGGGAGTCGCCTTGCTGGGGATGCCCTCCCTGCCTGAAAACAGAACCTCATCAGTTCCCTGGCTGAGCGGGGTCAGGGGCTCCTTTCTTTCTCTCTGGGTGTGGCTGCAGGTCCCTGGGAAGCGACTCACCTCAGGAATAGGGAACCGAGTTGGCTCAGGGACTTCATCACGGCCAAAGTCGATCATGGTGCCACACTTGGCCACATCGTCCACCCAGAAACCTTCAAACAGCTGACCATGGTCCAGGTAGAAGAAACGCCCTTGTCCATTCTTCATGCCTCTCTCCCAGAAACCCTCATAGCGGTTCCCATTCTCTGGGGAAATGATAGGGAGGTGAGGATGCTGGGAATATCAAACCAGCCTGAGCCCGGCGTGGTTGTGCATCCTGTAATCCCAGCCACTCAGGAGGCTGAGGCAGAAGGATCACAAGTTCAAAGCTGACCTCAGCAACTTAGCAAGGCTCTAAACTACTCAGTGAGATCCTGTCTCTAAATAAAATATTTAAAAGGGGCTGGGGATGTGGCTCAGTGGTTAAGCACCCTGGGTTCAACCCTCCCGTACACTTCTGCCTAAGGCAGGAGGATTTTAAGTTCAAGGCTAGCCTCAGCAATTCAGCAAGACCCTCAGCTACTTAGTGAGACCCTGTGTCAAAACAAGAATAAAAAGAACTGGGCTGTAGCTGAGTAGTATAGGGCAGCTGAATTCAATCCCAAGTTTAAAATTTAAAAAATTCAGCACTTACTAATAGGTTTCAGCCTCCACGCTAAGGCATTTTACAAACATACATCTCATTTGACCTTCACAATAATCCCAGAAAGTTTTATTTTATTTTATTTTGATGGTAAGGATCAAACTCAGGGCCTTGTACATGCTAAGCATGCACTCTGCCACTGAGCTATAACCCTAGAATGATTTTAATTTTTATCTACAAGTTATGGACAAGGAAATCAAAGCACAGTTCAAGCAAATCACCTGAGGTCCTAGCACTCGTACAAGCTCAGGACAAGTTCTCAAACCAGGCAGGTTGTCCCAGAGTCCAGGCCAAGGGAATGAACCACTTAGCTGGGCATGGTGGCAAAGGCCTGTAATTTCAGCTATTTGAGAGGCTAAGGCAAGAGGACTACAAGTTCAAGGTCAGCCTGGGCAATTTAGTGAGACAAAAGACCAGGATATAGCTCAGTGATAAAGCATCTGCCTAGCATGTCAGGCCAAGGGATCAACTCCCAGCACTCAATTTATATATATATATATATATAGAAAGAGAGAGAGCGAGAGAATCTTTATTTATTTATTTATTTATTTTTTTAGTTCTCGGCGGACACAACATCTTTGTTTGTATGTGGTGCTGAGGATCGAACCCGGGCCGCACGCATGCCAGTCGAGCACGCTACCGCTTGAGCCACATCCCCAGCCCAACTCCCAGCACTCAAAAAAAAAAAAAAAAAAAAGGAAGGAAGGATACACTTAAGGATACACTCACACTGGCAGGCCACAGCAGGTTATTCACAGAGGGTGTTTAGGCTCACAGCTGGGGTGTGGGGAAGACTAGAAAGACAGAAAAAATGGCCCACCTAACCTTCCCAGTGGCCCTGATGCCTCAGCTTGGCTGACTCTCACTGGAAATTAGAATCTTTTGGGGCTGGGGATGTGGCTCAAGCGATAGCGCGCTTGCCTGGCATGCATGCCAGGTTCGATCCTCAGCACCACATACAAACAAAGATGTTGTGTCCTCCGGAAACTGAAAATAAATATTGAAATTCTCTCTCTCTCTCTATCTCTCTCTCTCTCTTTAAAAAAAAAACAACATGGGGAATATAGCTCAGTTGGTAGAGTTCTTGCCTTGCATGCACAAAGCCCTGGGTTCAATCCCCAGCACCACCAAATAAATAAACAAAAATAAAAAGGTGTGGGGACTTATCTTAGTGGTAAAGTATTCCTGGGTTCAATGCCCAGTACCAAGAAAAAAAAAAGGACTTTTTGTAAAGTTCTTAGAACTTTACAAAGACTGATGACTGACTCATCTTCCCCCTACACAACTCTATGAAATGGATACTGCTATTATCCCTATTTTACAGATGAGGAAACTGAGGCACAGAGAGGTGAAGTCACTTGCCCAAGCTGATACACCTAGTGCTAGAAAGAAAGGAAGCAGGTATTGAGAATAATGAGAAGAACCTCACAAAGGGGGAGATACTGCAAACATCTAAGGGAAAGCATTCCAGACTAGCGCAAGGTCCCAGTATGGGAGCCGGGCATGGTGGGGCATGCAGGTGAAACTAGAGGGGTGTGAGGGCAAAAACCACACAAAGGAACTTGAACTCAGTTTGAGTTCATAGCAACAGAGAGCTATGATAGATTTTAAAACAGATGAGATCCAATTTATGCCTTTAAAAGCTCAAATCGTCAGGCATGGTGGTGCACATGGGTAATCCCAGTAACTCCAGAGGCCCAGGCAGAAGGATTGAAAGTTCCAGGCTGGCCTGTGCAATTTAGCGAGACCCAGTCTCAAAAAATAAAAAACAAAAAAGAGTGGAATGCAGCTCAGTAGTAGAGTGCCCCTGGGTTCCACCCCAATACTTAAACAAACAAAAAAACCTCGTTCTGGTTCCTATGCATAGACAAGACTGAAGATTAAGTCCTGGCCCACTGTGTTTTTCACTAGTAATTAGTGAAAATTAATTATTGCTTGACGTGCCCTTCTCAAGCTCACTGCAACTCTGGCTCTCCCTCTTCCTCAGGTTGGCCTTCCGAATGTTCAATATCACCGACTCTTGGAGGCATTGCCTGACCCAAGTTCTTTGCCATTTCCCAACACACCTTCCTGTTTTTTAAGAATTCCTTAGGACCTTTGACCCATAACTAAAAGCCTGTATGACCTTGAGCAAAGGACTTTGCTTCTCTGTAACTTCTGTGATTAGAGCTTCCAATTCACAGGATTGTTGTGAGGATTAAATGAACTCCGTGCTATGATTACTATGGCAATAAAAAATTGTGTTATTTATCTGCTTATAGTTATGCTCCCTTATTAGAGCATAGGATCCAACAGAGAGAAGGATCCAGGCACCTTAAGCCCTTATCCCGCTAAGGGGCGCGGCCAGCGGCCATCAGGGCGTCAGGGGCGTGGCCACAGGGCATTGGGCGTGGCTTGCTGGGGTGAGGCGGAGCCAGCGTTGGGGCGTGGTCAGAAGGTGGGGCGGGCCCAGCTTTGGGGCGGGCCCGGCAGGGGCGGAGCACTCACTCAGGCGCAGCATGCCCTCCCCGTCCGGCTTGTCCTTCCACCACTGGCCCTCATAGATGTCTCCGTTGCTGTAGTACATTCGGCCCCACCCGCAGCGCTGGTTGCTACACCACTCGCCCTCGTAAAACTCCTTGGGTCCGAAAAACTGGACCCCATAGCCCTGAAAGCACAAAAATGTTTCTGTTCACAGAGCCCCCACCACAAGAGAAGCGCATCACCTTCCCAGGCACCAAGCCACCCACCTGAGCTCTGTCCTCGCTCAGCTCTCTATCCAAGCGGAGGGAGGGCCACACCTTGAAAGACCTCAGACTGTCCACTTCTCTCTGTCCCTCTGCTACCCCTGCACGCAGCCCACCATCCCCTCTCCCTCCCTTCAGATCCCCTTCCATCCTCGTCTACCGTCCTTCAGCAGCCAGGGCACCCTTCCCCCACCCCACTGTACTGCTGGGGTTGGAACCCAGGGGTGCTCTACCACTGAGTTACATCCTTGGCCCTTTTAATTTTTTTTTTTGAGACAGAATCTTGTTAAGTTGCCCAGACTGCCCTCGAACTTGTGATCCTTCTGCCTCAGCTTCCTGAATCAGTAGGACTGCAGGTGTCCAGCCACCAAGTTTCCCTTGCCATACTGTCTCCATGTGGCTTAAAATGAAGATTCCTCCAAGTCTGTGAAAATAACTTGAGGGAACCTGTCCCTGTTTGGGAGTTCATGGCTCTTCTGACTGGCTTCTATCCCCTTCTTCCTTTCTTGTGCCATGGCCAAGGGTGTGGCTCTACATTTTGTTCCCAGTTTCCTACCCTCCCCTTTTATCCAGGCCCAGTATCCCCCAAAAGGGGAATTCTCAGAAGAGATGCCCAGGGAAAAGAAAGGCAGGAAATGACGAGGAGGAGGGTGGAGGAGACCTCAGCCTGGCCTGACAGGCCTGTGGTCTCCTTGGAGCCCCAGGGTTTCATGGGCTCCTCCCTGGGCCCGCTCCTCTTGCTTCCTGTTTCCTGGGTTTTGTTCTGAAATGCTTTGACCCTTGCTAGGCAAGCACTCTACCACTGAGCCACAACCCAGCCCCCCCAGTCTTATCTCTTAACAACTACATGACCATTAGTGGCCAGGTTTTCTAGAACATGCCTAGAAAACAGTTCTAAACACACAAGGAGACCTATCTCCTACTAATCCAGCCACACCACCACTCCCACCTTCCAGATTACAATCCAATCAATATGGTTTTCATACCAGCCATGTTCCTGCCTCAGGGCCTTTACACTTGTGTGTCCTTTGTCTAGAACACTCTTCTCCAGGGGGTCTTTCCCAATGTAGGTCACACTCCCTGGGCTCCAGACTCTTACACACTGGCTCTCTCACACTCAGCAGGTATCAGACCCACCTCCACCCAGGGCATGCTGGGAACCACACTCACAGATTTCTTATCCTCTTTCCACCAGCCGGAGTAGACTCTCTGGTACTTTCTACTTCCTTTTTCAGGAAGGCTGAGGGTGCCATAGCCATCTCGCTTCCCAAACTTCCAGTCCCCTTCATAGATGGCTCCATTCTTCTTCCAGACCTGTGTTCCCTTCCCTGGTGACACATAGATGGGTCAACACTGCAGACATGGCCACCCTGGGGCTGGAGGCTGTGTGCCCGGACAGGCCTCAGGGACCCCTACACTGGCAATTCTCCAGGCCTAGGACAGGGCCTGCACCTCCTCTCTAGACTGCCAGAGCCCAGGAGAACCCCAGGAAAGCTCCATTTCTGCAAAGAGCTGTTCTCTGACAGCCTTTTGCCCTAAAGCCCAACTGATATAGCAAACCCCAAGGAGAAATCCACCCCTTCAGTGTTTCAGCCTCATCTCTTAAATATATACATATATGTGTGTGTGTATGTGTGTGTACACATATATATGTGTGTATGTTGTAGATGGACCCAACACCCTAATTTTACTTATTTATTTATTTATTTTTGGTACCAGGGATTGAACTCCGGGACACTTGACCACTGAGCCACATCCCCAGCCTTATTTTGTATTTTATTTAGAGACAGGATCTCACTGATTTGCTTAGGGCCTCGCTGAGTTGCTGAGGCTGGCTTTGAACTCGCGATCCTACTGTCTCAGCCTCTGAGCCACTGGGATTACAGGCGTGCGCCACTCTGCCCATCTTACTTATTGATTTATTTTAAAATATTTTTTAAGTTATAGATGGACACAGTACCTTTATTTTATTTATTTTTTTATGTGGTGCTGAGGATCAAACCCAGTGCCTCACACATGCTAGGCAAGCACTCTACCACTGAGCCACAACTCAGCCCCCTCAGTCTTACCTCTTAATAACACTACATGACCATTAGTGGCCAGGTTTTCTAGAACATGCCTAGAAAACAGTTCTAAACACACAAGGAGACCTATCTCCTACTAATTCAGCCCCACCACCACTCCCACCTTCCAGATTACAATCCAATCACTATGGTTTTCATACCAGCCATGTTCCTGCCTCAGGGCCTTTACACTTGCTTGTCCTTTATCTAGAACACTCTTCTCCAGATACTCATTCCCTACTTCCAGCAAGGCTTGGCTGAAGCCTTATTTCCTTAATGAGGTCTCCCCTGACCATCCTGACCCAAATTACAAAGCCTCTCCCACACCCTTACCCGGCTCTGTTTCTTTCCATGTCCCTTATCAGCTCCTGACACAGTAGATAATTCTTTTCTTTTGTGTGTTGTCTGTCTCTTCCAGGAGGATGCAAGCTCTACGAGAGTATGCACTGTGGATATGTTTTGTTCATCATGCCAAAGAACAGTGTCTGACATACACAACCAATATTTATTGAACAAAGGAATGAATAAAATACAAGCCAATTCATGGCTTGTTCTTTTTAATATTTTTTTAATGTTTTATTTTTTAGTTGTAGTTGGACACAATACCTTTATTTTATTTATTTATTTTTATGTGGTGCTTAGAATTGAACTGAGGGCCTTGCACATGCTAGGCAAGTGCTCTACTGGTGAGCCACAACCCCAGCCCCATGCTTGGTCTTTGATAGCCTGGGAACAAACCCAACATTGCCCCTATGAGCTTTGTGACCTCAGGGAAGTAACTCTTTGGACCTGTCTAGGTCTCAGATGCCTCATCTATAAAATAGAGATGAGATTGTCTCATGGGACAACCTAACTATCTATACATGGATGAATGAAGAAAGAAAATGTAGAGCTGGGCATGGTGGTGGCACATGCCTATAATCTCAGGTACTTGGGAGGCTGAGGCAGGATTGCAAGTTCGAGGTCAATTTAGGACACCTTAGAAAGACTCTGTATCAAAATTTTAAAAATAAAAATATAAAGTGGGCAGGGGATGTAGTTCAGTGCTGCAGTGTTCCTGGGTGGTTCAATCCACAATACTTAAAAAAAAAAAAGGAAGGATATATATGTGTATATGTATCTGTGTATATATATGAAGTGGGAAAGAAAGGAATATTATTCATTCTTAAAGAAAAGGAGATTCAGCTAGGCATGGTGGTGCACACCTGTAATCCCAGTGGCTTGGGAAGCTGAGTCAGGAGGATCGTGAATTCAAAGCCAGCCTCAGCAAAAGTGAGGCGCTAAGCAACTCAGTGAGACCCTGTCTATAAATAAAATGTAAAATAAGGCTGTGGCTGTGGCTCAGTGGTCCAGTGCCCCTGAGTTCAAACCCAGGTATCAAAAAAAAAAAAAAAGGAAATCCTGCCATTTGGGGCAACATGGATAAATATGGAAAAACCTAGAGCACCTTATCTTTTTTATTGCTTTTTTTTTTTTTTTTTTTTGGTAATGGATTGAACTCAGGGGTGCTTAACCACTGAGCCACATCCTAGCCCTTTTTATCTTTTATTTTGAGACAGGGTCTCACTAAGTTACCCAGTCTGGCTTTGAATTTGAGAATTTCCTGCTATGGCCTCCCAAGTTGCTGGGATTATAGGCATGAGCCACTGCACCCAGCTGGAGCACATTATCTCGATAGTAAAATAAGCCAGACACAGAAAGATAAATATCACATGATGTCACTTATATGTGGAATATAAAAACGTCAAACTCGTAGAAACAGAGTAGAATGATAGTTACCAGGAGCTGGGTATGAGGGAAATGGGAAGATGTTGGCCAAAGGGTATAAAGTTTCAATTACAAAGCCCGGCTCTATGTGCACACCTATAATCCCTGTGACTCAGGAAGCTGAGGCAGGAGGATTGAAAGTTTGAGGCTAGCCTCAACAATTTAGCAAGGCCCTAAGCAACTCAGTGAGAGCTTGTCTCAAAATTTTAAAGAAAGGGCTTGGATGTTGCTCAGTGGTAAAGTGCCCCTGGGTTCAATCCCTGGTACCAAAACCAAAACGAAACAAAAAACCCTTTCAGTTATTATTTTTTAGTTTTCGGAAGACATAACATCTTTGTATGTGGTGCTGAGGATCGAACCCGGGCCACATGCATGCCAGGCGAGCGCGCTACCGCTTAAGCCACATCCCCAGCCCCTGGCCATATTATTAAAAAAAGCACAACTCACCATGGCCTTTGAAGCCCTATGTAGTTGGCTCTACTAACCATCCTGCTCTCCTTCTTTCACTGTGCTTCAGTCACACTGACTTCTAGTGTGTCCCTGGATGCAGCCACACACCCTCTTAATATTTCAGACCATCCCTCCCCTCTGGTTCCACTTTCTAGAAGGCATGCTGCTCTGCCCTCCAGGGTCTGAGACACATTCTCATCCTTGGGCCCCACTCAAATATCACTGCTACCCCTGACTATCTGTCTCTCAGGGCCCCTTAGCTCTCCTCTCTGGTCCCCTTCTCATCCTGATGCCACCACTTTTAGCTGCTCCATCTTGGGTAGTTACTTCCTGTCTGTGAATCCCAGTTACCCCATTTGTGAGATTTTTTTTTTTTTCTGGTACTGGGGATTGAACTCAGGGGCACTTGACCACTGAGCCACATCCCCAGTCCTATTTTGTACTTTATTTAGAGACAGGGTCTCACTGAGTTGCTCTGTGCCTTGCAGTTGCTGAGGCTGGCTTTCAACTTGAGATCCTCCTGTCTCAGCCTCCAGAGCTGCTGGGATTATAGGCATGTGCCACTGCGCCCGGCCCATTTGTGAGATTTGATGTTACCTTATTGTGCAGGTTCTCGGCAAGACCAGAGGATCCCTGAGGATTGGAATTGTGTCAGTTGCCCAGCACTGGGTCTGGCATGGATGGGCAGTTCAGTAAGTATTTTTGAAGTGAGCAGTCTTAAGAAACCTCTGAGATACCCAATCCTGCAATCCCGGCCCCTCATGATCTTTCTTTCTTTCTTTTTTTTGCAGTGGTGCTAGATTGAACCCAGGGCCTCATGCATGCTAGGTGAGTGCTCTATCCCAGCCCCAGCACTCGCTCTTGTGACTGCTACTAATCTGTCCATATTCACTTCAACTTAGTCAAATGTGTCCCAAAGAGCAGGGGTCTGGATTCTGCATTCCCAGAATTCACCAACAGCCCCAGGCTCCTCTACTCTGGGTGTTCTCCTCCAGGGTCTGAGACACATTTGACAGAAGTTCCCCTATTGCATGAGTCCTGGGCTACAAGATTGATGGATGCCATCTCTTAGCTTTACAAATCGGTCTTGGGGTGTGGCTCAGTGGTAGAGCTCTCGCCTAGCATGCATGCGGCTCTGGGTCTAATCCCCAGGACAGGAAGGCAGTAGAGGGCAAGGATTGAGAACTGGCAAAAGTGAAGAAGCCTGGTCAGGTTTTTGAATAAAAAGGCTGCCTTTTCCTCTTGCCAACCAGTCCCAAGCTTAACCCATATCTCAGAGAGCAGGGACCTCGCTCAATCCCCAGAGCCCCAGCGGCAGGCTGGCTTCTGGAGGCCCCTTTGTCCCCTGCTGGTCCCAAGACCCTCACGCAGCTGAGGTCAGGGCTGAAGTAGGTTCCAGATCCCCAGCACGGGGAGGTCCTTTCTGGTCCAGGTCACCACCCTACTTGGAGAGCCTTAGGGTCACCTCTTATGTCCCTAATGAATTCTGCACAGTTTTCTTGTGCCTGTTGCCTGCCCACCACAGCTCTGACCTCACACTGGCTACCTGAGGGTCCCCCGCTCACCATGTTTTGTGTTGTCCTTCCACTCGCCCACGTATTGATCACCATTCACAGCATACACTTGGTGTCTCAGTCCGTTCTTCTGGGCCTTCTGGTCCCACCCCTTCCATAGGGGCTCCGACTTTGGGGGGCATTTGAAGACTGGCATGTTGGTTGCTTCTGTGGGGCCAGAAGGTGCTGGAAAAGGGACAGGGACATGAGGGGTTTAGTGTGCCTTGTTTACAGGCTGGGATCCTAGGGTTTCCCAGGGAGGCACCTGAGTGCAGGTGGGATGATTCATGTGTATTCTGAGTCCCCAGGGCAGATGAGCAGCCTATGGAAGGGGGTCCTTTTGTGCTGGGCTGACCCTTAGCTATTCCCTCCCTTGCCTTCCCCTAGGGCCCCCTCCATGGGGATCTGATGGAACAATTGCTTGGGAATCCAGGGAGACCATTAGGAACCCAGGGTTTATGATGGCATCAGAGAGAAGCTGCCGCTTGGAGGAATGACAGTCACATATTTGATGACTAGAATGATCAATCAGAGTAGGTCCTGGTCCTGTGGCTGGAGGAACCCAGGGGAAAGGGCCAGGTGGTGGGAGCAAGGGGGTATCTGGCAGACAGCTGGCTTTTGCATAGCTTGCAGGAACCGCCTGCCCCCCAGGGCCAAGCATTGTACTGTGGTTCCCCATGGTCCTGCCTCATCTATCTAGCTGACAGGATGGTGGCAAATCCCAGGGGCTGAGTTTGACAATTAAAGAGACTGTGGGGGGAAGGGCGGGTGGTGACCAAGTGAGCAGGTTTCGTGGGGCTGAAGGGTTTCCTGGCACCTCAGATTTTTGGTGCTAAAATATGGGACAGTCCCAGGCACACCAGGACTGTCACCCTTCCATGTGTGACCCTTAACTTCCATCCCACTGCCTTGTTAGGTTTTTTTCCACTGGACCCAGCTCTGCTTAGTTTAGTCGCAGAGGGACTTTGTGGTGGGGAATGTAGGTCTTCCCTTCAGGGTCTGGGAGCCTGTGTTTCTATTCCTTGTGTCCCCAGAATCTCCAACACAGACATTCATGGCCAGCTGTCTGTCTTCGTTTGTCTTGTTCATGGGTGATAAAAATGGCCTTCTCCAAATCCTGGGGACCCTTGTCTTCCCTCAGCAGCTGCATGGTTTCCGGGGCTACACATAAGCACTCCCAGGTACTGACATACTCAGATACTGACCAATTAGAATGGCCTCAGAGACAGCAGATTCCAAGAGATCATGGTGTCCCAGCAACCATCCATGGGGCCAGCCTGCTGGGCATGTGCCCCCTGTGCAGCTGCATAGCAGGTCCTCCTTACAAGCCCTGAGCTACATCTTTGGTTTACTGTTCTTCTATTACCATTTCAAAATTCTTATACTTTCGGAGCAAAGGCCCCTGAGTTTACATTTTGCACTGTGTATCCGTGTCCTCTTTAGATAGTCTTGGTCTTGTACATACTCTTCAGTTGCTGTATTGTGTGGTAGCTGGAGCTCTCGGGGGGCCTCAGATAGGAAGAGGGAGCCTGGCTAGTATGAACAGATTTGGCTGCTGGCTGAATGTTGGTGTTGCCCATCTGCATTTGCAGTCCCCCTACCCCGCCCCCATTCTGGGGATTGAATCCAGGAGCACTTTACTGCTGAACTACATCCTCAGTCCCCTCTGCCCTTTTATTTTGTCAGGGTCTTGCTAAATTGCTGAGGCTGGCCTCAAACTTGCAAACCTTCTGCCTTGGCCTTCTGAATTGCTGGGATCACAGGCATGCACCACCATTGCCAGTTTTTAGCATTCTTATATGTTCTTCAGCATCAATCTAAATTGCACCATCTCTGAGCGTGCCTGAGGCTGGAATCCCTCACTACTATGCCCTCCACCCCAAAGAAAAGGGTCTCCTTGGGACCACCAGGACTGTGTCTTTCTTTTTTCCCACTTGTCCTTGTGGGAAAGTATACTTTTAGCTAAGAAGAGTTAAATGGGCTCTGAGGGTACGCTCTTCCTTTCCTCCCTCTCCCATTTTTTTCTTTTTAAACTAGATGTGGGGCAGGGGGAAGTCATAGCCTCTTGCTCTGGATTGAAAGACTGTCTCCCCAGAGTAGGACCTCCAGGATTTTATTTTATCTTTTTTTAAAAATACTTTTTTTGGGGGCTGGGGCCGTAGCTCAGTGGCAGAGCTCTTACCTTGGACGTGGGAGGCACTGGGTTCAATCCTCGGCACCACATAAATAAATACACAAATAAAATAAAGGCATGCTGTCCATCTACAACTACAAAAAAAAA